ACACACATTAAGTACTCTCAGGGTGGGAGCAGGCCTCCTCCTGGGAGGTGGCAGATGAGGGAAGGGGAGGGGCAGAGAGGGCAAAGGAAGTGAGTGCACCCATGCCCCCTCAGGGCTAGAAATCTGAAGCTCCTTCCCTACTACTCTCCACGCTGGCTCACAGGAGATGGTACGTGTGTACATACGAGCCATTGATGTGTGAGCACACATGCACATAGGAGTGGCCTGTGTGTAAAATGAGTTCCTGTACGTGCAGCTGGGGATCTTCCTGCACATCTACGGGCACGTGGATTGCATCTCATGTGATGAGTACTCACGCACAACCCACATACGTGTCTGTTCCTGTTGTATGTATGTGTGTCCATATTGACATGTACATGTGAGTGTTGTCAATGTGTGTGTCTTTCCCTCACTGTGGCTGCACAGATGTGTGTGCATGTATGAGGATGCATGTGCACCTGCGGGATACACATGAAAGGCCATGACTGCCGGTGTGTGGGTGCACGTGAGTGACATGAACACACACACCCACGAGGGAGGGTGTCTGAGTATATGTGAGAGCACACGCATGGCATACACATAAGTGCAGATTGCGGCGTGCATTGGGGCGTGCACCCGAGCATGTGAATCCAGGGGTGCTTGAGTACACATGACCTAACTATGTATGGAAATACTGCCCTGTGGCTCTCAGCAGACGTGAATACTCACAAGCACACATTTGCATAGGTGAGTGGGGGATGCCCCCGCGAGGCCACCTCAGGGTCTGTGAGACAGGACATATCCTCCAGCCCCCATCTGACCCTGGCCTGGACCTCGTCCTCTACTCACCCTGAGGAACAACACCACTGTATAAACTCTGAACATCTGGTTTTATTTACATGTAGATTAATTATTTTAGTAATTAGTAAGTCATTACAACTGTTATTTCTTTTAAAAACAAACATGTCTATATCGTAGACTCAAAATTCAGATGGCATTTGAATAAAAAGCATGGAAGTGGAGGATTTCCCACCCCCAGCCTCCAGGGCTTCCAGGAGAAGCGTGCTGGATAAGCTCTTGCAGGGGTCAGGCAGGGAAAAGGAGGGAGGAGCCAGGGCAGAAACCCCCGCCTCAGTTTCCTGGGCTGCCCAGCCCCCAGGTCCATCCTCACCTCCCGTGGCTCAGGGCAGGGTGGGAGAGGGATGTATCAGGCAAGCCTGGCTGGGAATCAGGAGACTGCAGGCCAGCCCTGCCCAGGTAGCAACCAAGCCAGGCTTGGGCGCTGCCTCATCTGTAGCATGTGGGGTTTCTGTTGCATGGGGCTTAAACACAAGAGCTGCCATCTGCCCACCTTCCTCTGCTCACCTCCCTCAGTCCCCAGCCACCCCGTTTCTGCCCACCCCAGCCCTGCCTTCACTGCTTCCTTGCCCCTCACAAACATCTACTCACCTGTCAAAGCCCACACCTGTGTAACCAGCTGGCCACATACTCATCTAACTTCCCAATTGGACTGTGAACTCCGAGGGCAAGGACAGGCTCAGGGCACTCCTGGGCCTCCACAGCCCACTCCACCCTGGCATGCCTTAAATAGCGGTCACTATTTGATTTTAATGAAAGATAAAGAAAGAAAGGAAGGGAGGGTGAGGGCTCTGTGGACAGCAATAATTGCCACAAACAGCAGGTTGTTCGGTGCCCACAGACCAGGTGAGTCAGGCTGGCCCTTGTCCCGGAAGAACGCAGAGAGTGTCATTTATCAACCTCCTCCCGTGCTAGCAGCACCCAGGCCTTATCGCTTTTGATCCTCACCCAGCACCCGCAGGAAAGCAGTACTGCACTGCCATTTTCTAGAAGCTGACCCTCAGAGAAGATGAGTCAGCAGCTGCCTGAGATTCAAGCTCTCCTTCTCCAGGTTCTCTCCAGCGCTGGCTCCCCCTCTCCTTTGTGGAGTCTCACTCACATGCCCTTGGCACTAAGCAGGTATCTGTGATTTTGCCCCAGGGGCTGCTGACAAGCTCTCAGTGGTCAGAATCTGTGGACTCAGGAGCAGCCCTTGGTGATGGATAAGTGATCTGGGTTGGTGGATAAATGCCCCAGCTTCCTCCCTCCCCAGGAGAGACAGCTCTGAACCTTGCTCTGCAGTAACTCCTGTCTTCCAGAGGTCCCAAGTGGGCAGGGCTCCGGTTGCCTGCCAGCTGCTCATGAACTTGCCTGTACTGGCTTCCTTCCCTGTCTCACTTCCCACATCCCTCATGGCTTCCTGGAATCACCTTGCAAATGAACTCCTTGCCCTCAATTCCAGGTTCTGGTCTATTTCCAGGGACCTCCAATCCAAGACAGAGGAGCAGCAGGTGCAGAGACTGTGTGTGCCTGAGCTGCCAAGAAAACCTTGGTCCAAAAGGGCCCCTGTCTCTCAGAGAGGACATGGGACTTGGTTAGGATCTAAAGCAGCTCAGTGGAGGTCTGGGCAATCCTGAAGAGTGCTGGCCGGCACGAGGCCAGCCCAGCTGCAGCCCCGGGCTGTGCATAGTGTCAGGTTGGGGTGTGGAGCTGCAAGGGAGAGAGGGAGGGAGAGAGGGGATGGGCATGAGCTGTGGGCATGAGCAATGGGCATAAGCCAGGCAGCCAATGCGAGGCGGGGCCTATCTCAGGCTCGAGACCGCACCTATGTCTCCCTCCCTTCTCCAGAAGTGCGCCCCAGGCACCTATGCCCTTTATGTCCAGGGCAGATCCCCACCTGAAAATTCCTGGGCTTCAGCAGGCCCTCTCTGGCTCAGCCCCCTTTGGCCTGGGTCTTTCCAGGCAGAGCAGGGACGCTGCCTGGGGTAAGACTTTGGATGTGAGTATGAGCAACTCAGTGCCCTTCTCTGGGTACAGGGCCTGGGATGGGGTGAGAAAGCGAATGAAGTGATCTCAGCACCCCTTCAAGAGCTCACTTTCCTCAGTTCTCCCAGAGTCATTTGCGCACATTAGATCTTCCCCAACATTATCACCATAGCACCCTGAACACGCCTGATCTCATCCATTCTTGGAAGCTAAGCAGGGTTCAGCCTGGCTAGTACTTGGACGAGAGATCTTTCCCCTCATCCCTACATGCTTTTGGAAGAGGGCATTAATTCACCCAGAGGAATGAAGCTTTCATGGTGGACACTCGAGCACTGGGAAAGACACAGCTTGACTTTGGCAGTTGACCTTCCTTCAACCTCTTAAATCAACCATGTCAGCTCCAAGGCAGCCTCAGTCTCAGGAAGTTAGAAGATCACAGTCTTTGGACCACAGCCAGGTGGACTTGGGTTCAAATTCTGTGTAACTCAGAGAAGCCCCCTAACCTCTCTGAGCTTCAGTTTCCTTGGTGGTGAAATGGGCAGCCAGTGCCCTCCTGGCCTCAAGTAAACATCTACAATCTCTTTTAATCCTCAGTCAGGCGAGGAAGCAACTCTGATTCCCAGTTGACAGAAGAAAGCCCAGAGAAGAGCAGGCAGGCACTGAGGAAGCCAGGCTGTGCTTGGGTAGGTACACAGTTCCCAGACCCATTCAGCACCCACCCAGGAAACCCTTGGCCTCTCAGCCCCAGCCACCACCCAGCCTGGGTCGTGACCTGTCCATTCCAGCCTTTCCCCTGCCTGGCCTGGCCCTGACCCAAGGCTCACCCACTGCCTTTCTTCCTGCACCTGGCCCATGGGGCAGCTGGGGCTAGACCTGCTGTTATCTGCCCTGCTCTGGACACCTTTGGCCTCAGGTATGCCAGGAGCTGGGCCAGGAGGTTAAAGAGACTACAAGCTGATCCTCCTCTCTCAAGAAGGTCCTGGAGCCTCACAGCACCTGGAGTAAGCAGGCATGCCCCAGCCAGAGGGGGAAACTGAGGTTCTCTGACTTCGACCTGGAAAGGGAATCAGAGACCTCCTTGATTTCCCTGTGTGGAGATCAGGAAAGCAAAAAGGGTGGGGATGGGAAGGTGGGGAGGTGAAAAATGAAATCAAAGCCAACAAAGGACCAGCTATTTCACTTCCAGGTGTATACTGAAATGCCTAGGCCTGTTCACCAACACAGTGTGCACTAGAATGTTCATAGTAGCACGATTCATGGTACCCCAAATGGAAACGACAGAAAAGCCCAGCAATAGTAGAATGACTACATAAATTAAGCTACAACTGCAGGAAACCATAGATGATCTCTCGAATAAGAAGCACAAAACAAAGTAGCACATATCATACTTTTCCCTTTCTATACAGTTTCAATATAGGCAAAGCTAATCTACGGTGTTAGAAGTTAGGATGGTTAGGTCCCTGGGGAGTCAGTGGCTGAAAGGAGGCCAGGAGGGACTTCTGGGGTAGTGGCTATATTCTGTTTCTCGTCCGAGATGCAAGCTACGTGGGTGTTTTCAGCCTGTGAAATTTCACTGGGCTGTACGTAAATGTTTTGTATGCCCTTTTGTAGGAATCTTACACTTTTGGACCTCATATAAATTGAGTCTTCTGGTGTACACGTGTTTGCATCTGGCTTCTTTTGCGTAACGCTGTATTTTTGAGATTCATCTATGTCCTTGCATGTAACAGAAGTTTCTCCTTTTTCATTGTTGTCTAGTGTTTCATTGTGTGGCTATACCGCAATTTGTCGATTTATTCTGCTGATGGAAGTTGGGCTGCTTCCAATTCTGAGCTTCCCCAAAGAATGCTACTTTGAATATTTTTGCACCTATCTTTTGGTGAGCATCTGTATGTGTTTCTGCTGAGGTGTGCCTATTAGCAAAGTTGCTAGGTCATAGAATTTACATATCTTCAGCTTTATTTGATACTGACAAACAGTTTTCCAAAGTAGTTTGCCAACTCACACCTCCATCAGCTGTATATGACAGCTTCCCATCCTCACCAGCACCCCATGTGGTCAGATTTCCTTCCGGTTATCCTAGTCCATGTGAAATAGCATCACATTGTGGTTTTCATTTACATTTCCCTGGGGCCTAATGAAGCAGAGCGTCTGTCTTAGTCCAGGTTCCCTAGGAGCAAACCCTGAGACAACAAGGGGAGAACAAGTAGTTTAATCGGCAGGTGTATTAATCTGCTAGGTCTGCCATAACAAAATGCCATGCACTGGAGGGCTTACACAACCGAACTTTATTGTCTCCCAGTTCTGGAGGCTGGAAAGTCCAAGACCAAGGTCCAACGGGGTTCATTGTCTGCTGAGGCTCCTCTTCTTGGTTTGTAGACAGCTATTACCTGCTCTTTTTTTTTTTTTTGAGACGGAGTTTCGCTCTTGTTACCCAGGCTGGAGTGCAATGGTGCGATCTCGGCTCACCGCAACCTCCGCCTCCTGGGTTCAGGCAATTCTCCTGCCTCAGCCTCCTGAGTAGCTGGGATTACAGGCACATGCCACCATGCCCAGCTAATATTTTGTATTTTTAGTAAAGACGGGGTTTCACCATGTTGACCAGGATGGTCTCGATCTCTTGACCTCGTGATCCACCCACCTCGGCCCCCCAAAGTTCTGGGATTACAGGCGTGAGCCACCGCGCCCGGCCACCTTCTCTTTTGTCTTCATACGACCTCTCCTCCCTGTGTGTGGAGGCAGAGAGCTCCGGCATCTTCCTCTTCTTGTAGGGACCCCAGTCCCATTGGATTAAGCTCCTACTTATGCCCTCATTTAACCTTCATCGACTCCCTAAAGGAATTATCTCCAAACACAATCGCATGGGAGGTTAAGTCTTCAACATCTGAATTTGGAGACACAAATCAGACCATGACAGCCTGATCTTAGGGAAACCTAAAGGGAAATGAGGAAGTGAGACAAGGAAAAGGAGGAGGCCAGTGTGTCAACAAGCAAGTGGTCACCTTGGCCATCTGGAGGTCAGTCCCACAGGGAGCCTCTGGGAAACTGTGCAAACCACTCACCTCAGAGCCCTCCCACCCACGAGCATGGGAGCTGGATTATCACGTGCCAGTTCCTGTGGCTCGTGTACTGAGGGCAACTTCAACGTATCTGTGCGTGTGCTGGGGAGAGTGGTGTCAACTCCCAGGCCCTCGTGGAAGCGCAGCCACCCCAGGCACCACAGATACCCTCGGGCCCAGCTCTGCGGGCCACGTCCTTGTGGTTGGAAGGAGCACACTGCTATGGAGTCTTCACTTGCTGTTCAACATCGGATTCTGGCTGTCATGAAGTGGCTTATCCAGTGGAGCTAGACTTTGAGGAGTGAATATTGATGGGTCAGGCAGCTGAGGGCACTGCAGTAGGGGAGAGCGTGACAAAGGTCTGGATGGAGGAAGCTTGGTGTCCAGCCTGTAGCTACATAGGGAAGGGGAAGGATTGGAGACCAGGTGGGGGCCAGCAGAGCCCCACCGTGAAGATCAGATGGGAAGGGTGTCCCTTGGTAGGCTATGGAGAGGGTGTCCCATATATGTACCTAGCTGCTCAGAAACCCAAGCAGGCCTATCCCTAAGACATCCCAGAACGTTGTCTTCCCGGGACCCCCCTACTGCCCCCCTCCCCTCCTTTGACTGTCTCCACTTCAACTTCTGATACAGCAGGCACCCCCAAATCCGAGAATGTCTCCTGTACCCAGGAGACACAGATATCCCCCCAGCAGAGAGAATTCAAGCTAGGCCCCCTGCCCAGGTCCGAGGGCAAAAACAAAGAGGCCAGGAGTCCCAGGGCGGCAGATGCTGCTCTCTCCCTCAGAGGCCAGACCACAGCCTAGATGTCAGGGGGGTCAGGGGCTGACCTTAGGAGTTGGGCCTGAATAGAGGACTGAGCCAAGGTAGGGGGACACCCTAAAACACCGAAAAGCAGCCACTTGGTGTTCAACCTCAGCCACCTGAATCCTGATTACGCTTCTCCTCCAGTGTCTTCTATCAGGTTAGGACAGTTACCTCTGTGCTGTCTGCAGAGTCTGCACAGGGAAAGCAGAGGGTATAGGAACAGCTGGACCCAGGAGTGTGGGCTTGGAGGGGCCACCTTCACACCCACTACCACCACTGTTTTGGCCTGAGGGAGATTGAGAAGTGGGAACTTAAGACAGGTCTGAGCAGGGTCCAACTGCTCTGGATAGCTCTGGGTTTGGAGCCAAGCCATATCCAACTCTATATCCAAATAACAAGCACTTCTCCGTAGACAGAGGTGTGGTCCTGCCAGAACTTGATGGAGGGCCGGCACAGTGGGCACTTGGTTTCTTTGATAAGCCATGTCTCCCTCCCCCATTAATCCTGCTCTGGGCCAGGTGCAGTGGCTCATGCCTGTAATCCCAACACTTTGGGATGCCAAGGTAGGAGGATTACTTGAACCCAGGAGCTCAAGACCTGCCTGGGCAACATAGGGAGACCTCCATCTCTACAAACAAAAAATAAAATAGCTGGGTGTGGAGGCACAAGACTGTGATTCCACTACTTGGGAGGCTGAGGGAGGAGGATCCCTTGAGCCCTGGGGGTTGAGGCTGCAGTGAGCTGTGATTGCACCACTGCACTCCAGCATGGGTGACAGAGTGAGACCTTGCCAAAAAAAAAAAAAAATTCCTGCTCTGTTCATGTGTGTGGCTCAGTGGGGCACTTGGGCAGCCTCCCCACACAGGCAGGCAGGGGGAACTCTTGAGCCATGCCCGGCCATTGAAGCACCCATCCCCTGGGCACAGTTATTGGCTCAAGGATAAACACATGACCCAAGCCAGGCCAATAGGAGTCTTCCCTGAGACTTTTGCTAGTGCTGTCTAGAATTTCTTCTTTTGAGATTGTGAGCTGTAAGGATGAGTTTGTAGCAGCTGGTGGACATCTTGCATCACAAGAAAAAGATCTGCCCAGGGGGAAAAAAAAAGTTAAAAGCAGGCAGGCATAAAATGAGAGCTGGAAAGAGAGAGTTTTAATGACGTCAGTTAAACACCCAAATGCAGCCATGACTGAGACTCCTTGGACTTCTTGTTTACATAAGCCAATTTATATCCTGCTCTGTTTATGTTTGATCAGCTTTTCTGTCACTTGCAGTCTAAAGGGTGCTGATTGAAACAGTAGGTGAGAACACAGCCAAGCCCTGTCTGCACCTTTACATCCCAGAGATGCACAAGATTGCAGGGAGTTCCTTTTACAGGGGCCACTGTGACCAGAATGGTGTAATGAGGCCAAGCTCCGCATTCTGCTGCCCCTCTTTGAGAAGTGACAATTGGCTAATGCAAAGCAAGCTAACACTGCCAGCAGTTTACATTCAAGAGTCCAGAATGTCACTCACACCAGAAGAGCCAAGTCTTGGCAAGCCACCCTCAACCGCATTTTCTGGAGTGTTTTGGAAGGTGGAAAGGGCCGCGATGCATTTTTCTGACCAACAATTCTGGGGTCATTTAATTACTTTTTCACTTGAAATGCGAGGTCAGAGCTATATAGATTTAGGAGAAAGGGAAAGAAATATTGCATTTTTGCAACCTCAGCATAAATAGGCATTGTTGCACATTGTTTAGCTGATTCACTTGTTAATTCAATTAAATTCAACAAACAACCTGAATGTTCATCAATAAAGTTTTGGTTGGCTAGATGTGGTGGTTCATGCCTGTCATCCCAGGACTTTGGGAGGATGAGGCAGAAGGATGGCTTGAGCCTAGGAGTTGGAGACCACCTGGGCAACATAGTGAGACCCTGTCTGTATGAAAAAACCTTTTATTTAATTAGCTGAATATGGAGGTGCACATGTGTAGTCCCAGCTACTCAGGAGGCTGAGGTGGGAGGATTGCTTGAGTCCAGGAGTTCAAGGTTGCAGTGAGCTATGATTGTGACACTGCAATCTGGCCTGGGTAAGAGAGTGAGACCTTATCTCTAATAATAATAATAATAACCATAAGGGTTTGGTTAAACAAATTATATAAATCCACAAATATGTGGATTTAAAAAAATAAGGTAGCCCTAAAATATACTGTCATAGAAATATGTCTGTCATGTATGAAGTGTATTCAGCAATTTGCAGAATGATGTGTACAGCATGGGCCTGTTTTTGCAAGTAAAACCTGGAGGCCTTATTATTTGCAGAAGACTTACCATTTATATACTTGGAACAAAAGGAAAAAAAAAAACTTATCCATGAAGGCTGGGCACATTGGCTCCCATCTGTAATCCCAGTACTTTGGGAGGCTAAGGCGGGTGGATCCCTTGAGCTCAGTAGCTCAAGACCAACCTGGGCAACATAGCAAGACCCATCTCTACAAAAAAAAATACAAAAACAAGGCCGGGCATGGTGGCTCACACCTGTAATCCCAGTACTTTGGGAGGCCGAGGTGGGCAGATCACAAAGTCAAGAGATCAAGCCCATCCTGGCCAACAAGGTGAAGCCTCGCCTCTACTAAAAACACAAAAATTAGTTGGGTGTGGTGGCACATGCCTGTAGTCCCAGCTACTCAGGAGGCTGAGGCAATAGAATCACTTGAACTCAGGAGGTGGAGGTTGCAGTGAGTAGAGATCGCACCACTGCACTCCAACCTGGCAAAAAAGTGAGACTCTGCCTCAAAAAGAAAAAAAACAAAAACAGTTTAGCCAGGCATGGTGACATGCATCTGTAGTCCCAGCTACTTGGGAGGCTGAGGCTAGAGGATCGCTTGAGCCCAGGAGGCTGGGACTGCAGAGAGCTGAGATCACACCACTGCACTCCAGCCTGGCACTCAAGACCCTGTCTCAAAAAATAAAAATAAATAACTGACCAATGAAAGGTAACTCATTCTCTTTGGGAGAAAGATTCAGTTGATGTAAACTTCAGTTCCTATCAGAGCTGTTTCCCCCCACACACAAGGAGTTCCCCTCCTAAGATGGGGTCTGCAAACTGGAAACTTGGGTGTCCTCATGGCATCAGGGCAAGGGTCTCCAGGCCTCATGTCACCCTCCTGTTGGAGCATCTCATCCTGTCTGTTTCTGTCCTAGCTGCTGTTACCAGTGCAGCAAGTGGAACCTGGGGTCTGTCCTGACTTGGGCAAGGACCAGTGGGAGCTCCAGCACAGCTGGGCTGATCAGGAACCACAAGGGCATATCCACTGTGAGCTGGCTGGGACCTGAGGGTTGTCATGCCCCTGTCCAGGGTCCTGACACACAAACAACCCACCAGAGCTTTCAGTGAGTGGCCTTCTGTGTCCTCCCATTGTCAAGACGCTGGACCTTGGGGCATCCCTACCACACCACACAGGAGACAAGCCAGTCTAGGGGCACTGTCTCTGGTCTTCTCTCTGCCTAAACACCCCGTAGGAGGTTGAATATTGTCCCCAAAAAGATATGTCCACATCCTAACTCCTAGAACCTGTGAATGTGATTTGGAAAAAGCGTCTCTGCCCATGTGATGAAGGCTCTCAAGATGAGCTTATTTTGGATTATCCAGGCGAACCCAAAATCCAATGAAAAGAGCCCTTAGAAGAGAAAGTCAGAGGGAGACTTGGCACAGAGGAGGAGATGACATGGAGGCAGAGACCTGAGTTAATCTGTGGTTTACTCAGATTAATCTGTGCTGTAGTCATGAGGACAGCCAGAGAAGCTGGGAGAGGCAGGGAACAGATTGTCCTCCAGAGCCTTCAAAGAGAGCACAGCCCTGCCGACACCTGGGTCTCAGACCACCAAGGTTGTGGTCATTCACCACGGCAGCCCTCAGGAAATGGGTACACACACCACATTGCCCTTTCTAGTCTCCTGTGGTCATGGGCCAAGCAACCTTCCAGACAGGGCTCTACAGAGTTCTAGAGTTCTAGAAGTGGGCAGAAGCCCCTCTGGGCTTTCTCCCCACAATCCCTAACCTGGCTGGGGCTCAGAGGCAAGGATGGGCCACTGGGTCTTCAGGCAGCAGCTTCACCTCACTTTTGCCTCGTCCGTATCTGCTTTTCCAACTCTTTGGTGGCTCCTCTGAGAAGTGGAAGGACTCCCTACATCCCCCTGAGCTGGTAGGGATTTCCCTTACATCACATCTTAAATTCTCTCTACCTGTGGCTTAGAGCAAAACTCCATGACCTGTCCTCCAAGATCTGCTGTGACTCTCTACAGGGAAGGTTTGAGAGAGATCTTTCTCTCTCTTATAGTAGATGATGTTGACTCTCTACCTTCTTCAACTTTCCTGTCCTTCTTCTTAAATATGCCCCAGTTTTCAATCTGGAATCCAGCCCAGTCTCAGATCATCGATGAGCTTCAGGGTAAGCTGACCCCAAATTCAGTTCCAGGGGAGCTTTAACTGGTGTCATGAAATCCCACCCCATCTGCCATAGTCATTGGTCTAGAAACTCAGGCCTAAGCCTGCATGCAGGGCACACTCTTCACCCCAGGAATGGGCATGTGAGCCTAGCCACGATCAAGGGGAGACTTGCTGGGAGCCTGGGGGAAAGTGTAGTGTCCAGCCGTGTGGTAATTTTGAGGGATGCCATCCCAACAGATTAAGCCATTAGACAAAGCAAGGTACAGCCAAGAGAACTTTAGAGAGATGTGCCAGTGTCGCTGGATTAAGCCAGCCCTGAAGCCCAGTGTGTCTCTGGAGTCTGGGGACCTGAGTCAAAATATCTCATCGTTCATCAGGTTTGTGTTGTACTTACTGCTATCTGCAGCCAAAGTATCCTAACCAATACGTTAATCAACAAAGCCAGCCTTTAAGACTTCTGTCTCATGTAGACTTTGAGATTCTCTTCTGAATCCTGTTTTTAACTAAGCCTTGTTCCTTATTCCTCTTTATATCACTGTCTATCTATTTTAATCCTCTCTGAAGCACGTGGATTGGATGCCACTGGCTGAATAGGAGGAAAATCGCATATAAGAACTATGGGAGGAAAT